ATAGATAGATAGATAGATAGATAGATAGATAGATAGATAGATAGATATCTACCACAGTGAGAAATAGGAAATTAATCCCATAAGGGATCTCTCATAAATAGTTTCCAATTCACACCTTGAAAATTTCATACATAAAGGTGGGCAGAAATACGGGAATTTTATGTACCACCTTTCATTATTCCAGTTATTGACTGAGGAATGGGCACCGAGGAAGTTAAGGACACAACACTAACTGAAACACCTACTGGAGTTTCTGGAGAGGAAAAGTCCGAGTTGCAAACACTAGGTACTGGAAATTACATCAGACATTCATTCAAATGAAAACACCAGGGAGATCTGGGGTGACCTTAGAGCATATGTGTTAATGGATAATTACCAATATTTTTTACCTTAGGCATTGCCATTAATAGCATCTGTCATTCATGCATGAGAACATTGGCTTCAGTTGATTTCTTTTCAAAACAGTGACACTGTTAAAATATGAGATTTTCATCTATTCAAAGTCATTTTTATAGGCAAATAGTCCAGAACAAAACTATGATTGTTTTTTAGAACTATCAATACTGATTTCATAATGCCTTAATGATTCAGAGTGATTAATTTACTCCTGTCCTGAGATAGTTTAGTGGGTAAATGTGCTTGCTTACTGCCAGCACTGATGAAGACTTGAGTTCAGTCTTTCTCTGGAACCTACATGGTATGAGGAGAGCTGATTCTCATAAATTGTACTCCTACTTCTGCAGGCACACAACAGTGCATGAGCACACATGAGCAAGCATGTGTGTGGTACATGCAAGTACAAATAGACATACACACAAACTAAACACATCAGTAAGAAATGTAATAATTTACTCTATTTTTAAAAAAGTATTGGGTAGAAGATATAGATCAGATTTTATCTGTATAATAGTTTGGAAAACATGTAATTGTTCATATTTATATTTGGTTTGAATAAATTATTCATAGGTAGAACTGCAAAGTTTAATCTTTATTTCATACAGTAACCTTTTTATTGTTATTTAGCTTATTTGGACAAAGGTCCAAAGCAGCTTCCTTAAATTATACACAAACACTGATTCAATCACTGTAACATCATTGCAGTTAGATGAAATCTAATTGTGACTTTAACAATAATGTATAGTTAGCATTTCAAATCTTGAATGTAAATGTTTGGTAATAGTACAAGTCCCATGTGGCTTCTACCTGCACTCACTAGATGCTAGGGGTGTTTATCGATCCCTTTATGTAACTCAACTGCATGCTGGCATGAAGCTCATGGATTAATACCCAGTTTCAGGCAGGCACTGGTATTTTCATTTAGCACACTCCTTTGTACCCATAAAGTCTTTTAGTTGTACTCAAAAAAAAAAAAAAAAAAAACCTTTAAGATGACATACACAACCTTCAAAATCTAACTTTATTTTTTGGATTTCATAAATACCCATATGAGAGGTGATGATATTTAGCTCAAATTTTATTTCTAGGTTTGTTTAGCTTTTGAAGCATTGACTGTGAATGTATAATTACTACAGATACTAGATAAAATGTCCACATGTGATTAAAATAAGGTCACATGTGATGTTAAAGAACTGTGTGGATCTATTCAAAATCAATTCATAGATTCTGCTTTACATATATGGTCTGGTTTATTTCATTATTCACTTTGCTTGGGGACTTTCTTTAAAATAATTTTCTTAGCATGCATGGCTCAAGCCTATTGGGAGGATAAAGCCTATGTAAAAACAAGTGGCTTCAGAAAATTCTTCAGAAGCAGTGAACTTAATATATAAGTATGACTGGGTCTGAATACACACACTAAAAATTCTAGAATGTCAAATTCAGTACATGTTTATATTTGGTTCTAAATTCAGTACGTGTTTATATTTACTTTGCTAGAAAAAGTGAAATGTTTTTAAAATAATTCCTATATAAGTGATATTTACCTGGGCTTAGATTATGAATATTTTCAATGATCTTATATCTTTTAGTATATTTTTTAGTGTTTTATACTTCGGTACTCCAAAAATTATATTGCAGCACTTTGCTAATCATTTTTGTGGCCCAAGTTAAATATTCATTTAAAAGTATATCCTGAAAAGTATTGTTCTGTTAATTTTAGTTCATACTAGGCAGTGATCTATATCTAACAAAGAGATTGGACTCTGTTTTACCAATTGATGCCTTCATTCACCTACATGGCAGACCTTTAGCTAATAAATTTTTCTTGTCAGTGATTGGTCCTTTATTTATAAAACCAATAGTTTTACTTTATTAACACATTATGTATTTTATTATAAATTCAACTTCTGTTTTTGACCTTTTACCTACCACATATGATAAATAGAAACTACTACTCATAATAGATGTATCCCTACTACTTCTAGGTCTCTGGATATTTCTTATATTTCTCCCTCTCTTAATTTTCAGACAGATGAAATATATTGGTTGTATGAAATAAATGGGTTACCTCCATCACCGAGTTCACTGGTACATGTAAAAGCCAAAATTGATTCTACTAATAAGACGTATGACAGCCTGATACCAATTCAACACAATTTTATCCGTGAAAACACTAAACTTCGAAGTACAGGGGTATCTTCTACTATTAAAGGTGCTCCTTTAGTTAAGAAGTATAAATAAAAACTATTTTAAAAACATTCCTTGGTCTCAAATAGAATTGACTATTTTCTTCATTATCTCAATTTTGGGGGATAACCATAATACACTTTTTTGTTTTGGTGTTTTTTTAATTTTAATTTTAATTTTAATTAATTATAGTTTATTCACTTGGTATCCCCTCTGTAGCTCCCCCCTCCTCCACTTCCAATCTTACCCTCCTTCCCCTTTTTCCACCCCTGTCCCTCCCCAAGCTCACTGGTAGGAGAGGTCCTCCTCTCCTTCCTTCTGATCCTGGTCTATCAGGTCTCATCAGGAGTGGCTGCATTGTCATCTTCTGTGGCCTGGTAAGGCTGCTCCCTCTTCAGGGAGAGGTGATCAAAGAGCAGGCCAATCAGTTCATGTCAGAGACAGTTCCTGTTCCCATTAATATGGAACCTACTTGGACACTGAACTGCCATGGGCTACATCTGTGCAGTGGTTCTAGGTTATCTCCATGAATGGTCCTTGGTTGGAGTATCAGTCTCAGAAAAGACCCCTGTGCCCAGATTTTTTGGTTCTGTTGCTCTCCTTATAGAGCTCCTGTCCTCTCCAGATCTTACTATATCCCCCTTCTTTCCTAAGATTCCCCGCCCTCTGCCCTAATTTTGGCTGTAAATCTCAGCATCTGCTCTGATACCCTGCAAGGTAGAGCCTTTCAGAGTTTTTTTAATGCTAGATTTCTACATTCATTTTTATTTTAGTCAATTAATTAAATGACTATATATGTATGTATTGTGTAATGGTTTTAAATTTCATGTCTATAGTGGAAAGACTAATTTAAGTAATATATTAATTTATTCTTATACTTACCCATTTTGTGGAGAGTGCTCTTAAAATTACATGTGTTTTTCTTAGCATTAGATTTTTCTTAATATTGTAAAACTATCAATGAGGGGATTATTTAAGAGGTACATATTGTTTGCTTTGATCTGCCCATAATTATATTGACTCTTACATTTCCTGTTATGAGTTAACTGCGTAATCAAGGCTTGTAACAACTTCCTGGAAAGGCCATGATGGACTTCGAAGATGGTGAATGAGCCATCAGGCATGCTTGTACTGAGACTCTGTCAGTAATTTTGGGCTTACATTGCCTGGCAGTTTATTATATGTTGCAACTTCAGGCAGATTTTTTCAGTATTTTCCCCTTACTTTTATGTATCATAGCCCCTTGGTTTAAACAATAAGGCTAGTCCCCCATTTCATACTGCAGACTTTTAGGCATTCTTATTCTACAGGTGAAACTGTAACTACCAATTTTAGCTATGGATATGAAACTTCAGCTTAGTGTTAACTACTCTATGTTAACTATTTTCTCTGTTCTCCATGAAGATGATTATACTAAATTAAGTTTTGAATTATTGAATGTCTTTTTAATTAGTTCTTTGAGAGTTTCATACAGTTATTTGACCATATTCACTGCCTCCCCTGAACTATTTCCAGAGCCAAGCAACCTTCCTTACCCAAGCTTGTATCTTATTTTTTTAATCTTTCATATTTATTGTGACCAAATATTCTTTTATTTTTAATTAATCATGTTACAGCATGATCCCAGCTCCCTGCCTTTTCTCCTCCCATTCCCACCCACATGCTTTCTCCCTTCCCCACATTCCTCTCTCTCCTTCTTTTCGCCCCTCTAAGAACTGCTAACCCACCCTGGCACCTCAAGTCACAGCAGAACTAAGTACTTCCTCTTCTACTGAGGCCAGTAATGGTGTCCCAGCTATGCTAAAGGGGTCCAAAGGCAGGCAACAGAGTCCCTGGATATTACAGTAATATGCATCTTAGGCTCAACAGATAGCTATTATTCTATAGATGGATAGATTACATAAAAATAAATAGAAAAGTCTTCTATTCACAGACCTACAGAATTGGCATTTAAAATATTTTTATTATTTTAAGGTCCCTAACACACATTATGACCATGCTGCACTTCTGTTACTTATGTGTAGGGGTCTATCTAGGTCAGGCCCATGAAAGCTCTTTGGTTGGTGGTTCAGACTCTTTGAGCACCCATGGGCCCAGGTGAGTTTACTGTGTAGATCTTCTTGTGGTGTCCATGACCCCTCTGGAACCTTCAGTCCTTTCTCTCCTTCTTCCACAAAACTCCTGGAGCTCAGCCTATTGTTTAGCTGTTGGTCTCTGCTTCTGTTTTCATCAGATGCTGGATAAAGCCTCGCAGGAGACAGTTACACTGGGCTTCTGTCTGCAAGCATTGCACAGTATCCCTAATAGCTATCCTTAATAGCTGACCAAATAGTCTTGGATGTGTAGGCTTTCACTGGAAAGTGGTCACTTTATAAGAGACTATACTCTTAGAGATAACTATCTCACCCTCTCGCAAGACCTTCATGGCTAGGGGCAGAATTGTGTGCCTAACTCCATGCTAAGATTTGGTCTATCTTGGACTCCCACAGGTTTTGTATATTCTGTTATTGCAACCACTGTGATTTTGTATGTACAGCTACCCAACTATGACCAGCACACTGTGTTTCCTTATAGTTCCTGCCACCTCTGTCTCTTCCAGTTTTTCCACATCTCTTCCACAATGATTTCTAAGACTTGAGAGGAAAGCTTTGTGTACGCTTTGGGGATGAGCATTCTGTAATCTCATTTCTCTGCACCTTGCCCACTTCTGGAGCTCTTTGTTGATCACCATCTACTACAAATAGAAGCTTATTATGTTAAGGATGTGAGATATGTTGATCTATTGGTATAGAAATAAGTCATTGAGGGTTATTTTAACTGTGTGTCCATTTAGTAGCATAATAGTAGTTGGACACATGAGGATAGTCTTTCAGGGAAGGAGAAATGGAATGCACTGATAAAATAGGTTAAAGGGAATGGTGAAATATGAAGATTTAAACTAGAGTTTGGGAGGTAATAGTAGGATAGGATAGAAAATATGGAGAGAAATATACAAAACTAAAAACCATTCAAAAGAGACATTGTGGTGGTTTGAATAAGAATGTCCTCCATAGACACATGTTTAAATACTTGGTCACCAGTTGTTGAAACTGTTTGGGAAAGATTAAGAGGTATGGCATTATTGGAGGATATATGTCATGGGGAAGGGCTTTGAGTATTTAAAGGTTTTCTGCAATCTCCACTGTGCTTTCTTCTTCCTTTTGTGGCTCAGGTTATGAGATTTTGAATTGTTAAACTAGAGCAAGACTTGCATACCTGCTGTCATGCCCTTTATCATGATGGTGATGGGTTCCTGTCACATTGGAACTGTTAGCCCCAATAAATGATTCATTCTATAAGTTGCCTTGCTCATGACATTTTATCACAGGAAGAGAAAAGTAACTAAGACTTGTATGGGAACATATTCCTAGGCAAGCTTCATAGAAACAGGAGGAGTCAGGAGGGAGGGAAGAAGGGAGGGAGAGTGGAAGAGAGGAAAGGAGAAAGGAAGAGAATGAGTCAAAACAGAGCATACATAAAATGGCAACAGTACCCCTATTAGAGACCAGAAGCTAACAAAACACCCAGACCCAGGAATTGGTTACTTCTCTTGGCATTGTTGGCACCACCCTCCCAACCCAAACATTACAGGCTCTCACAGTTATTCTTGGTTATATACAGAACTTGATGGCAGTATCCCATTTCTGAAGATACCACATATGTAAGTCATAAAACATGGAGAAGTCAATCTAGTACTCACGTGGAAGCTTCATCCATATTGGCTAGCTTTTAGAACTTGAAGGTGCTATGCACTCAAACGCAGGAAGTAAGAAATCATCATTTATGCCTAACTATGAAGTCTATGAGCTACCATGACTGGCCTGGCAAGACATTCCTACTGGTAAAACAACTGCATGGAAATCATGGGTGTAACTAACAACTTTCTAATTGTATTTAAGTTATGCTCCACAAGATGAAACCCACACCTGGCACCATTATCAGGTAAGAACCTATGGTATAAAATGTATTTTCATAGGTTTACTTGCCTTATATTTTCTGTTCCATGAAATACATCTTCATGTTTCTTTTTCTATTAACCTCTCTATCCCATTCTATTGGTAAACTTCAGGGTGATTCAGACAGCTTTGATATTATGGTGTTATTTGGCGTTATCTTTGCATACCCACAGAGAAATCACTACATGTATAGCCAAAACTAATACAGACAAAAACTTCTGAGCATGGGCTTGTAAAAGGTTCCTCATAATTTGAAAACAGGCAGTTCTTCATATATAGTATGCCCTCTGTCCTAAGCAGAGCTCAGGAAACTGCAACAGGCATCTTCTATCCTTTGTCTACTACAGCCCCAAGCAATTGTGACTGAAATCACTGCTATGAACCTTGTGAAAATATTTCTTTTAGAGTTCTTTAAAAATCATTTCATCTTTCCTATTCATAAACTTTTGTAAATAAAGTTGTCAAAGATGCTGATTAAATGACGTGAAAACATCAGGTAAAATGTCTATAATTCTAAAAGAAAAATGACCCAGTTATATCTCAGTATCAATTTCATTGTTATTCAAAATTTACATATTTTCCTGCCATGACTTTCACTGAAATAAACGACTGAGGCATGTGTTATATTGCTAAGATATATCAGTTTGTTGCTAATGAAATGTTAACTGCTTTTTTAGTAACTAGGAATAATACAAGGAGCCAAAATAAATTCATTTGAAAAGAATTCAGTGAATCCTCTGGCCCCACCACTTCTACTGACATGAGCAGTCTTCTTCCTTATTCTTACTTATTTAATCATGGTGATGCTGACCATGGCATTTGCTCTCTATAAAGATCTTTTAATTGCAAAAGGTAGAACATTAAATAATATACCTTATTTGACTTAAGACTTAAGAGACAGATATCAAAATTAAAATGATACTCAAGTATGTGTCTGGTATAAAAATTATCCCAAGTAATTAAGGATTTGCTCCATTTTCAAATATCGGAAAACAACAGGCTGAGATTTAAAAGAGGAAGAAAATCTGACTCCAACTACATACTAGAGAATCGAGACAC